TTCATCTTGACCTGAGACGGTGGAACTGATGTTTCTTTCTCTCAGGAAGAGAGCAACTACTCCGAGTACGGTAAATAACATGAGGGGTTAATTTCCGTACACTTAAATATGAGAAATGTTAAATAAACCTACAATAAATACTGAAATTTACTGTACGTAAAGCTCGTTTGTCAGAGTAAGCCTTAATAAATCGTACGCTATCACTTGACGATACAAGAAAAGCAAATTATTCAAAGCAAACTTTGTACAACTCAACTAAACACTTGTCAAGTAAGAGTAATGGCGAAATGAGGAATGTAAGAGGTGTCTCTCGTAAGAATTCGAATGTGTTCCAGCGTTTCCCAGCCAACTGATACGTGATTGGTCAGTTTTGCGCTGTGTATCTTTAATTTTCTCCGAGTTGAAAAATACACTAGTTTTAGCGGTTGTTTTTGTCCTTCACGGGTGTTTTTGGAGTAAAATAAACGGATTTTTTTCATAAAATCTTTGACTCGTAAATATTTCCTGTTTGACGAATCAATACTGGTCATTTGGTGAACTTGAGATTCGTTTTTTTTTTATCAGGGTCGTTTTAAACACATTTACAAGCTTTGTCTTTGCGTTTATTTCGTAACTTTAATTCAAATGTAAGATATGGCCGCTGTGATGTAACATAAGCGCGTGTATACTTATTGAACATGACATATCATAGTGTATATCAATTTAAATAACTAGATCTGCCTTATCAAACTCCATATACTCTGCAAATACAAAAGTATGGTAACTTAAATTTAATGCTGAAATTAATAAAATGGCGCCATGTCATACTGATATTGCTTTAAAAGTCCATCCATTCACCTTTACCACCAGCAAAAACCTTTTAACATGTAATAATAATAGTCTTATTAATATTAATAGTCTTAGTAATATTCTGTTCTCCCTGCAGATTTTCTCCAAGCAGTCTCCTGTCACAACACACACATTTAGCCAACCTAAAGGCACTTTTTAGAGCCAACATCTATCTATCTATCTATCTATCTATCTATCTATCTATCTATCTATCTATCTATCTATCTATCTATCTATCTATCTATCTATCTATCTATCTATCTATCTATCATTTTCAAAACTCGTGTCCATATATGTTACTGTCTCTGTTATGTGTCTCTAAATCATAATATCTGTTGTCTTTATTTTGTTAACTTTACTCTCTCTCTCTCTCTCTCTCTCTCTCTCTCTCTCTCTCTCTCTCTCTCTCTCTCTCTCTCTATCTGACTACTTGTCTGTCAAAAATCAATTCACATTGTAAAAGGAAGCAGCCTGTGAAGCAGAGGCTGAAGAAAAAAGCTTCAGCAGTTGGAAGCAGGAGGAATGGGTGGTCGGTTGAAAGAAGAGCCACAACAATGCATCCAAAGATGAAGCATTTGTTATAGTATGTACTTTTTAAAACTGTTTTTTTTTTTTTTTTCAGAAAAAAAAGTCAAACATTGAATGTGCAGTGCATCCAGAAAGTCTTAGCGTCTCACTTTTTCTACATTTTTTTTGTTACAGCCTCATTCTTAAATGGATTAAATTCATTTATTTCCTCAAAATTCTAAACATAATACCCCATAATGACAATGTGAAAAAGATTTTTTTGTAATTGTTGTTAATTTATTAAAAATTTTAAATCCTGAAAAATCACACGTATTCACAGTCTTTGCTCAAAACTTTGTTGATGCACCTTCGGCAGCGATTACAGCCTCAAGTCTTTTTTAAGATAATGCCACAAGCTTGGCACACCTGTCTTTAGGAATTTTTGCCCAATCCTCTTTGCAGTATCTCTCAAGCTCTATCAGAAATGCCAACTCGTCCAGCTGGGACTCGAACCAGTGACCTTCTTGCTGTAAGGTGATAGTGCTATCCACTGAGCCACCGTGCCACCCTTCTACGTTAATAATGTGTAAAATTGTAAAACATCTTTACAATGTGGAGCGTTCACCCTTTTGGCTGTATAATCAGTAGCTTCTGCCTTTACTTTGAGTTAATCTGTAGATTGTCACTGTCCAATTGTACAGTGGTCACACAGTTTTGCCAATATTTGAGCTAATCCTGAGCTAATGTTTAGAGGCCCTCATGGTTTCATCCTTTTGTTTAGTTTTTTCAATGTAGAAGAGTTGGTTTTGTTGTATCAGCCTTTCTTATTTCCTAATTTTACCACAAAGTTAAACATCCTGTGTGGTATTACAGTTTTTCTCAGTCACTTTGGTACATTTCTCAGATCAAAATTGAAATGAGCAAAACAGGAAGTTCATTTCTCAAAACAATACGTACAAATAGCAAAACACCATGGATTATCTGCATAAGCCAGTCTCTTGAATCCTTAGTTCATCTCTCAAAACTAAATTTCTGTGTCAATGAATGTGTCAGTGCCATCATAAAGACAAGTCCTTGTGTGATTGTGTACGGATAAGACAGTCAGATAAGATAGGATAAAATGTCAAGATAAGACAAATGCAGCACCGCATAGCACAAAAAAACAAAAACAAAAGTAGAAATGTGAACATAGGACAATCTCAGATGCCATTTCATCAGAAAAAGTCAAGATTAACCTGGGAAAATGTACAAACTGTAGACCAGGGGTCACCAACCTTTATGAAACTGAGAGCTACTTCTTGTGAACCGAAAATGTGGAGGGCTACTAGTTTGATAAACACCTCTCAAATAACAAATTTGCTCAATTTACTTTTAATTATACTTTATATTTTTGGTAATAATTAATGATATTCATCCATGTGAAGACACTGATCATGTTAATGATTCTCACAAAAGTTATCAGCAATGATTTAACAGGGTGGGAAATACCCTGTATTTAATGTATCAATGTGCAACACTTTATTTTTATATATCTCTGCAAATATTTACATTTTTAAATGATTACTTCTATATTAGATGAAGCTTACTGGTAAGTGGCGCTATGGTGAGCTATTTTTAGAACAGGCCTGCGGGCAACACATGTGATCCTCGCGGGCTACCTGGTGCCCACGGGCACCATGTTGGTGACCCCTGCTGTAGACAGATTTAGAAAGAAAAGTCTAATGGAAATGAATAGATAAATGCATTATGACAACATATGACAACTTGGATGTAAAGACTTATGCAATGAACAAACGATTAAATGTTGTGGGGGTGGATTAATTCAACAGAAACCAAAACAATAAATTAATAAAAATAATAATTTAGATCAACATGACATAAGCAGCTGATAATGTAGTAAACATCAGAGAATTGCACATAATCATTTGCATGGTCGTGCAAAAGCATTTGCGACTTGTTCAAAGGAGTCAGAAGCTGCTTTTCTGATGTGCACAAGTGACACGATGATGTGGAGGTTGAACAGGTAGTTTCGAGAATTTAATTCTGATCTGAGACATGGACCAACGCGACTGAGAAAAACTGTAATTGGTATGCGGTCATCAAAGATGCTTGACTGAATGTCGTCAATAATTAATAATATACACATATTTTTTCTTTTTTGCTTTTCTGTTGCTTTAAACATTAAATACCCAATCTTGTCATTGCAGGTTAAGAAACTCCTCGCCGTTGAGTACTAGCCTGTTCTGCTTCTCAGCAAGGAGACTAAGAACAAAGAACACAAATGTGAAATATTGACCCCTCGGTGCACACTTTCCACTTATGCCCAAGACTACCTTCAGAAGATTGGCTCATTTTCTCAACACTTTTGTGAAGGTGAGATGCATGCGCGATATTTTTAAAGTCACTGTAAAAGACACTGGGTTCCACACAACTCCTTCAAGTTTACTTAATTGTTTTTTTTTTCTTTTTACAAATTTAAGCGAATGAAACATTAAAAAGTAAGTAATAAACTAATTTGCAACAAGTAGTTTAAACAAGCACATTTTTTGAGTGTATAGTTAACATCTTGTCTTGATGTTTGTCTTGATGTTTACCTTTATGAAGGAGCAGGTGGAGGAGGCGACTATGATGGAGAGCCAAGTGCAGCAGGTGACCATTTAAGGAGCAGGTGGAGGAGGTGACCTTGGGCATGACCATTTCTCCTATGACCAAACGTCTTGTGCAGAGCTGCAGTTTAGGCGCCTGAGGCTGGAGAACGCTAGACGTCCATCGTGGAGAAGCTGAAGGTGGGAGTGATCACCAGCTGGTGTACAGGCTGGTCCTTCAGGATCAATGCGAGGACTCGTCTGTCACTGGAGTCTTACAGGAATCAATCTCATGCTCTCCACTCCTCCATGACCACCACAGCAGCTGCTCTGGATACGGCCTGGCTCAGGATTTTAGAAACCTTGTGATTAATAAAAAAAAAAGACTAACATACAGTAAGTGCAGATGCCGTTCAAATTATAATGTCTTTTAGGAAGTGTTCCTGGCTCCAGTTGCCCTAAATAATGCAGCATAACAATCCTTTAGAGGAGAGGTTCTCAAAGTGGGGGTCGGGACCCCCCGAGGGGTCGCGGGACAATAAAGGGGGGTTGCCTGGTGATTTTCAAAAATCAATTAATTTGTATTAAACCTTAAGACTTACTGTATTTTATCAATAACCTACTGAAGAGGAAAAAAATAGTCGTTTATAGTTAATATAAACTATATAGTTACTATAGTAGCTTATAGTTACTAGTTCTATTGGATTGTGACTTCTCGGGTAATTACATTATACTAAAGACACCAAGTACCAAGTACCAAGCCCTCTATAAAACAAGTGAGAATTTGGCCAGAGGGAGCTATGTCTGAATTACAGGACTGCTTTGATCGCACAGACTGGACTGTGTTCAGAGAGGCCTCCACAAATGGCCAAGGCACAGATATGAATGAATATGCTGATGCTGTATCCAGTTATATTTTTAAGTGTATGGAGGATGGCTGTGTCACTAAGAACATTAAAGTCAGAGCGAATGAGAAACACTGGATGACTGCAGAGGTGCGGACTTTGCTAAAAACAAGAAACTCTGCTTTCAAGTGCGGGGATGCAGCTGTCCTTAGGTCTGCTCGGGCCAATCTGAATAGGGCAATCAGAGTGGCAAAAAGAGCCCATGGAAATAAGATTAAAGAATACTTTCAGGACCACAAAGACAATTTAGGGGCCCTATCATACAACCGGGGCAATGTGGCGAAAGGCGCGGCGCAATACTCTTTTGCTACTTTTAGCTCGGCGCAAGGGTCATTTTGAGGCGTTGCGCCACGCTGTTTAAATAGCAAATGCATTTGCGCTCAAATGTGCGCCCATAGGTGTTCTGGTCTAAAAAAGCAGGCGTGTTTTGGTGCGTTACTATTTTGAGAAACTGTAAAAAGTCGCTCTGTTGTCTGGCGCAAAGTGCACCTGGCTTACACACTACAAACAAGATGCAGAGCAATAATCAAATATCTTTACATATGAAAAATATATAATATCTTAAGGATATATATATATATATATATATATATATATATATATATATATAATAAGGATATTTACAGGATATAATTAAAAATGACTAAAATATTACGAAACATATTAATTTCTAGTCTACATGAAGATTTAAAAACCACTGCCTTACTTTCTTTCTCTCGCGAGGCTTTTTCAGTTCATTCAATTTGCTTTTGTATAATGTTATTATTATTAGCAGTATTATTTATTATATCCATATTTATATTTGTTTTATTAAAAAACAAGCTTAGATTAGTCCACCTGTCAAATTTTAGACAATATGGGGCATGGCAGGTGTATTTGGAAATAACTCAGTATTTTGAGCACACTTTGTTATTATTGTTCTTTTATTCGTTTGCTGGAAATTAGAACTGAATTTAGAAATAGTTTTGAAACAAATCTTTGCACATAACAAACAAATTAATTATTTATAGGCTAATTGATGTCTGTGCGTAAAGGGTTCCCTATCCACAAGAGCAAAAGCGAAAGTGAAATTACTTTACGTCAAAATGCGCTTATGGCGTGACGCAGCTGGCTCTTAAAGGTAATGGGAGATGAGGCTTTAATTGGTTTATTCTCAAAACACACCTATAACTCATTAAGAAAATAAACTCAACCCTTTTAGACCATGCGCCATGGCGCAAAGCGGATTTTCCCGTCCTTAAATTAGCAAAAATGCATTCTGACACGCCCTGAAAGCGTTTGCGCCCTGCGTTTTGCGCTCTGCGCATGGATCGTCAAAATAGAGCCCTAGAAGTTTATGGCAGGGTATTCAGTCTGTCACAGACTATACAAGCATCTCATTGTCCTGTGAAAACAACTTTAACTTACTTGATGATCTTAACAACTACTTTGTAAGGTTTGATGCTGTTTTACATCAGCAGTGAAGGCCACATTGCAGCACGACGAGCAGGTGCTAAGCTTTGATATCACTAATGTCCGCAAGACCCTAAAGAAAGTAAACGCTGGTAAGGCGGCTGGGCCTGACAAAATACCAGGCAGAGTTCTTAAGGGGTGTGCAGAACAACTTGCGCCTGTACTGACGGACATAATTAATATCTTTCTGCATCAAGCTGTTGTGCCATCATGCTACAAAACATTTGCTATCATTCCAGTGCCAAAAAGACCTTCAGTCACTTCTTTAAATGACTATCGGCCGATAGCTTTAACTTCACTGATAATGAAATGCTTTGAGAAACTGGTAAAAAGTCATATCACCTCCATCCTGCCTACTTCACTTGACCCATTTCAGTTAGCCTGTCGGCCAAACAGGTCAACTGATGATGCTATATCCACTGCACTGCATCTGAGTCTTGAACACTTGGAGGGTAGAAACACATCGGTACAGGTGCTGTTTGTTAGTTTTAGCTCTGCTTTTAATACTATTATTCCTCAGCACCTGGTCAATAAATTAGCATCTCTAGGTCTTAATACACCTCTTCGGAACTGGATTCTAGACTTTCTGACAAATAGGCTACAGTTTGTGCGAGCGGAGGGTATTTCGTCATCTACCACTCTGCTCAATACAGGCTCCCCTCAGGGGTGCGTCTTGAGTCCACTTCTATACACTCTGATGACCCATGATTGTTGTGCAAAACTTAGCACTAATCACATTATTAAATATGCTGATGACACCACAATAGTGGGTCTCATCCAGGATAATGATGAGAGGAACTACAGGGAGGAGGTAAAGCTCTTCACAGAGTGGTGCAGGGATAATAATTTAGTTCTTTGGCCATGTATATTATATATATAATATATTATGTATATTATCAGGAGTCTCTCTCCTGATAATATATGGACCTAGACTGGGAACGACACAGAAATATATATATATATATATATATATATGTATTTTTTTATATATATGTGTAATTTTTAAAAAATTAACATTTTTTAAAAACTAAATATGAAAGCTAAGTTAATGTATACGAAAGTGAGTTATAAACTCACTTGATAATATGCAGAATTGATACACTCACCAAACAATTTCAGATATGCAAAAGCCCACTTGCAAATTAATTTAGATTCATTTAATAAGAAAAATTAAATACACAAATAGTTGGAAAGTGTAATGGTTAATTGTAGCCTAGTTATACATATTCATATAGAGAGATGCATTTTGTTCTATTGTTTATATATAAAGTTGCATTTTGAAAATAACAAAATTATAACCAAACAATACAGTGTAATATGGAGTAATGATGTGCTTTGATAAGAATGCAGTGGTATTGACTACCAGACAGCTGCTGAACATTTAGACAAACAATTTACTACTTTCTAAAATTCAAAGGACCATTTAGCTACCTGACAAAAACCCAGACAACATTAGATTTTTTTAACATTGATTTATTGACAACAATATCACTAGAGATTGCCAGTTTTCTTTAAATGAAGCTGAATCCTTGCATCAAAAAAAAAAAAGAAAAGAAAAAGTTATGCATAAGTACTCTGCAAAAATTATTTTCTTACTTAAGAGTCTCAGACTTGTTTCTAGTCCAAATATCTAAAAATTCTCAGAAACAGTAAGGAATGGAAAAAGAAAAAAAAATTCATGCCATTTTACATATTACCTGGATGTATGCGAAACATATCAAAATAGTTTTTTATTTGATTTATGATTTAAGAATTATAACTTGAGGTATAACAAAAGTCATTATATTTGAAATGTTTTGTTATTTGCAGCTACAAATTGTGACCCTGACTTTCCCATATTTAGCATATATAATTATTTTCTTTGTAACAAATTGTTACAATAAATATTATGTAACAATAAGTGATAAACATTATGAATGCATGTACAGTGCAAACTTCATTGCCAATATATAAAATGTACTGTATAGCTAAATGAACACAAATAAGTAGACCATTTATAATTTTGAGTTTCTCTATGCATTTATAGATATATGATCGTTTAATTGTTTAAACTAGAACAGGATTGCATTATATCAAATGTAATTGAATGCAATGCAATTTTAAAATTTTGAATAAAATTCAATTTTCATATCTGTTTAGATTTATTTCAATATTTAAGAAAGGCAAATATGGAGGAATAATGTAGTGTAGATTTGGCTGACTACCCAGACCACGCAAGTGTATTGTCTAATCTATGAGAAAATATATATCTTTAAATTAGTTATTAAATATATAATAATTACTCCCTTGCTGAGACAAAAAAGTCAATGAAAATTAGCCTACATAACACACTTTCTTATGTAGGTTAATGTTCTTTTACTTTTTTTGTTGATGTAGAACATGTAGCTAGCCTGCCTGCACATAGTTTGCTAAAATTTTAGTCAAACTAACACATTGCTGTTATATTACACCAATGGTTGGGTGTGATAAAGCTCTGGAGGCTTATACTGTACTGTACTCTCTCTACTGGACGCATCAGGAACAACAGGGGTTTAAAACTGCCTGGGCCGTAGATCTGTCTGGATCCAAGTCTGCAGTCTCCCCCTTCTCTAATTATTTGAATGAATTTTTATTTTCCTATTTTTACAGGAATAATCTAAATATTAACGTAGAAATATGAGTTACTCTCTAAAAATACATACAAATCTTTCTTTTAAAAAAATAACGTAATACCAAATTACAAGCAATAACTGAAAATTTAATGTTAGAATTTTTTATTACAGAACAGATGTGTAAAACAACAGGTATTTCCCTGTATAATGAAAAAACTGGAAAATTCTGTAAAAAAATACAGACAATTATCTGTAAAATGACGTTTATTTTTACAGTGCAGTTCTGAAGAGGCAATAACACCAAACTAATCTAATAAGGGGTTCAAATGAAGAGATTTAAAAGACAATGAAGAGCTTATAAAGACATTAAAAAGAATAAAAACAGCACACAACTTCTCAAACTGCAACCATAAAATGGTCAGAATACTCCTGCTTGTTTGTTTGTTTGACAGTTTTGCACACAATGCTTGCTATTGCAGCTAATACAGGCTCAGAAATGCAACCGCTTCCCACAGATAACTGAGGTTATTCTCTTCGGCCCCTCAAAAACAAGAATGTCTTATATTAGGGGCTTCAGAAGTCTTACACCATATGTTAAATCTCAAGTAAAAAATGTAGGAGTTATCTTTGATTGGGAGTTTTGTCTAGAAAAATTGTATTGTTTTATGTTCAATCCACTTAACTTTGTAAAAAGTATTAAGTTAACTGGGTGGCACAGTGGCTCAGTTCTCAGAATCAAAAAACTCCATCACATGTATGCTTGTACATCAAACACATTCAGCTCAGTAACGTTAAATCCAGCTAATCTGTGTTAAATCTACAAACGTTGTCATTTCTTGTTCCTGAATGATCTCATTTGAAACACACAATAATCAGCAGTAATCCACATTTAAAAAATAGAACAAGCACTTATTTTTGACAAATATGACTTTATTTGAAACTTTAGTACAAAATTCATGATTGTCATCAGTTGTGAGGCTTGTCGCCCCAGACTAATGTCAGTTTTTGTCCGTGTTCAGCTCAGCACCACCTTCAAGATGGGCAGTTTCCAGTGGCACCACGTGGAGGAACGGACTTCGCCACCTATATATACAGGGTTTGGATTATCACTCACCATGAACTACAACTACACACAAAATCACTAGTCAATAAATGATGTCCTCCAACCATAAATCATATACCACATTAGCAAAACATTAGACTAGAGAAGGTTGTATATGAGGACAATATTAAAGCAAATACTAAAGGTAGTAACTTTATTCATCTTCAGAACACAAATGAAGATATCTGAATGAAAATAATGAAGATATTTTAGTTAAATCTGAGAGCTCCTTAATCTCTCATAGACAGCAAGATTCCTGACTATGAGGATACTTTTATGTGCACATAAAACAAAAATAACTTTATTCAACAGTTTCTTCCCTCAGTGTCAGTATAGGGCACGCGTTCACGTGTTGCGCCTCTGACATATAACCTTGGATGTGCCTGTGAAGTTTTTAAGAGAGGAAGTCAGAGAGGAAGTCGCACAGGCATCCGTGGGGTATATGTCACTGCACAGTGCTTGTGAATGCGTGCCCTATAATCACACTGAGGAGAAGAAACTGTGAATAAAAATGTTTGTTTTATGTGAAGGCGTATGATCTGTTTTGAGGATGTTTTTTTACTGTTTTTGTGGACTTTGAGTCTGGATGAGGGAGCTCTAACATAAAAATAAAAATATTTTAAATAGTGAACACGAGGATGAGTAATAAATAACAAAACTTACTTTTTTTCAATATTTTATTTATTAATATTTTTTTCTTGTTTTTAGAAGAATTTCTGATTAGTCAATAACATGGCCAGATTTATATTTCAATATAGGCATTTTTTATAGTTTTATTTATTAATGATGTTTTTATATTATTATTATAATTTATTTACTTTTTTATTGTTTTATTTATTAATGATGTTTTATATTTTATCAGGAGTCTCTTTCCTCTGGCTCAAATTACATTTCTTAGAGAGAGACACTCAAAGTATATGGACCTGGACTGGGAACGACACATAAAACAAAAATAACTTTATTCAACAGTTTCTTCCCTCAGTGTCAGTATAGGGCGCGCGTTCACGTGTTGCGCCTCTGACATATAACCTTGGATGTGCCTGTGAAGTTTTTAAGAGAGGAAGTCAGAGAGGAAGTCGCACAGGCATCCGTGGGGTATATGTCACTGCACAGTGCTTGTGAACGCGTGCCCTATAATCACACTGAGGAGAAGAAACTGTGAATTAAAATGTTTGTTTATTATTTTTTACTTTTTATAGTTTTATTTATTAATGATGTTTTTTTATTTATTTATACATATTTTTTTACTTTTTTTATTGTTTTATTTATTAATGATGTTTTTTATTTTTCTATTTTAAACTTTTTTATTGTTTTATTTTATTAATTGTTTTTCCAGTTTTTTTTCAAATTGGCTGGTGAGTGATAATGTTCATTGGAAACCCTGTATATATATCAGTTGATCCCAGTAGTCTTTGGTCAGGAGTCTCTCTCCTCTGGCTCAAATTACATTTCTTAGAGAGAGACACCCAAAATATATGGACCTGGACTGGGAACGACTGAGATATATATATATATATATATATATATATATATATATATATATATATATATATATATATATATATTTTTTTTTTTTTTTTTGTTTTTTTTTTTAGCATTTTTTTAAACACATATACAAATATATGTGTATATATATATATTTAGCAATATATGAAAGTCTAAACTGTTAAGTGCTTTTTAATTTTTTTTTTTTTTTTTTTTACACAATATTTTTTTCAGCTATAGGACCATGGTGTGGCTGGAATGACTAGATCTACCCATTAAATTAGGATATTTCTACTCATTCTTCCTTGTTCTCCTCCTGAAACAAAAACAGTGATCAGGTTACAGCTTTAATGCATTAAACAAACAACATATCATTAAAAGAAAAGCAATAAATGTCAATTAAAAAAAAGAAGTTTAAGAACACAGGATTGTCGTCTGACACTAACTGGGTTTCCATCAGCCTGTGTTGATGCACCTTTTTAAGAATCACATGAGAAACAAGTTTAAATGAGAATCCCTTAATTCACAAAATGTTTTATGCTCACTTGAGGTCATTTTGGATTTGTGTGAAAAAGGGTTCATGATGGAAAAGCATTTGTCAAATGAACTTTGATGTAGCGAACATTTCTCAATTATACTTCCCTTGTTTACTGTTGGTTACGAGGTTACCAATACTACAGTTCAGCTGCTCGACCAACTTGATGGAAATTATTTGGTCATAATTCTTATTTAAAATTACAAAATATATAAATATATATTTAGTGAACTTCACATTGTGCTTCACATCAGGATGGAAACTCAGCTCATGACAGATTCATTTGACTATTGTCAAAATCTTCAAAATGTATTAATCACCTTAAACCAGGCATGGGCACGGAGAGCATGCAGTTTACTTCGAATGTTGATGTTCAACTGCAGGCAAGCGCAGATGAAATCCCTGCATTCTGAAAAGAAAGAAATACAGTACATGTAAATATTGGCTTGAAGTTTAAACATGCTTTTTTCATTGACATTCAAATTGTTATACACAACCATCTGTAACTGA